ATACTGCAATGGATTTGCGTCCATATGATAAATGATAGGGTATGCTTTTAGCCTGTGGCTATTGACAGGATCGTCCTGTCAATAGCAGAAAATATTGCACTGCTGACAGGATCATCCTGTCAATAGCAGAAAATATTGCACTGCTGACAGGATCGTCCTGTCAATAGCAGAAAATACTGCACTGCTGACAGGATCGTCCTGTCAATAGCAGAAAATATTGCACTGCTGACAGGATCGTCCTGTCAATAGTAGAATAATTGCACTGTTGGACAGGATTTTCCTGTCAGCAGTGCAAATTATTCTACTATTGACAGGATCGATAAGATTTTGGTATTTTTATTTCATACTGGAAATTTTGGGGTGGGCGCTGTAGGTCTTATGTAGGTGTTATTATGTATGCTATTAGGCCATTTTTACGATCCTGCGCTGCGGCCCCTGCAGATCGTCGTGCTTACATTGATCCCCCGCTCGGTAGCGCGCGCCTGGCCTCCCGTAAGCAATGCGGCGGCAGTGCGTGCCTGTCGCCCCGACCAGGCACCGCGGATCGCTGGAAAAATAGTAGAAATTGGCCGAAATAAAGGGAATATATACCAAGGTCGCCAATTGGAGCTTCTCTGGCCGGCTAACTCCCTTGGTATATATTCCCTTTATTTCGGCCATTTTCTATTTTTTTTCCAGCGATCCACGGTGCCTGGTAGAGGCTAGTCAGGGCGACAGTAAGCGCTAGCCATTACAGCCCAGGCCTGTTACAGCCGGCGCCGCGGGAATGACACAGCGGTCCACCGGCGGGTACCCGTCGGGCTAGCCTGGGTGCCACCAGGCCTGGGTGCCACCCCGTGCGCGAGTGTCTATTATATCTCCTAAGTAAAAGTCATGGGAAGCCATACTCCCGGCAGACCTACTTGGCACACTGGGTCTAATTATCTCCTCGCGCATGAGGCGTTAGAGGGCTTCGCGTGGACAAATACGGTTTCTCCCGAAATCTATCGCCAAATAAACGCCGGACTCTGGCACCCAGGGTTAACCGTCAGGCGTGCTAACAGCAACAACCCGCCCCCCAGTAACACTAACCAGCGTGCCAGGCCCTGCAGCGTGCCTTTGCTGGTACTGTGGCAGTGTGGGGCCCAGTGGGGCCGGTAAAATTCGGTGGCCAGCTGGATACGCGCGCCAGGGGGCTGTTGTTGTTAGCGGGCCGGCTAGCTGAAATGCCACACCAGCGGTATTTTCCTGGATTTGTTCCATTTGATTTCGAAGTTGTTGAAAGAAATTATAAATAATGGATAGAGATCAACTTCTTTTTGTCTTTTTTATTGTCTTCATCTTATGTAACTGCCTTCGTATTTCAGACAGCTTATGCATGAAATTCGCTTGTATTTATATTTTGAACATGTCTAGTTTTGACATATATCTGCTGGAGTACTCTGTATTGATAACTGTTATATATATAAACGTGATGATAGCCGCCATCGTGAAACGACTAATCTGCAGTACAGTAGCATATGCCTTCTGACTGGTTAAAAAAATGAAAACAAAGAAGAAATCATGTCAATAGAGCCCAAAATGGAAGATTTAAAAAATCCTGTCAATAGTGCCAAAAATGGCACTGCTGACAGGACGATCCTGTCAACAGTGTCAAAAATGGCACTGCTGACAGGACGATCCTGTCAGCAATGCAGTATTTTCTGCTATTGACAGGATCGTCCTGTCAGCAGTGCAGTATTTTCTGCTATTGACAGGACGATCCTGTCAGCAGTGCAGTATTTCCTGCTGTTGACAGGACGATCCTGTCAATAGCCTCAGGCATGCTTTTATCTTCCTCCAGGTAACATGTGGTCCCAACAGTGGAACAACATTTACGACCTCGTGGAACCGTTTTCCGGCAAACAGCGGATTGACGTGACGAGCGCCATGGTGAACAAGGTGAGCGTTTTCCTGAAGTGATTGGATCAAGTTTGTTTTTTTTTCCTCTTTCTTTTATGTTACTTGACTTTTGTTTTACATTCATACCTTCGCTGAAAGAAACATTGTTTTTGCTCTGTCTCTTCTTCCTCGTCTTCTTGCAATCTCCAAACAGCTAAGGTCACTGACCTGGACCAGACGTCTGTCACCATGGTAACCGGCTCTGTAGCAGACACCATGTGGTGTTAAATTACATTATGTAGCAAGTTCATGACAGGACAGAGTTGGAGGGTTCAGTCACTACATCTATGAATGCATTTACGTCTAACTTATCGTTTAATTAACAGAGCAGTAGTTTGTTTGGCTGGACCATGTGAAGGTAAGAATTTTTGCAAATTCTTGTCAATTTTTTAGTTTCAAATACATCTTATCAACAAACTATAGCTACTAACTTTTTCTCTAGGGTTGGGACGCTTTGCGGATGTTTAACGAGTCGGAGCAGTTCTTCACGTCGCTGGGTCTGATCCCGATGACTCCCGAGTTCTGGCGGGACTCCATGATAGTCCGACCGGAGGGGAGGGAGGTTGTTTGTTACGCCTCAGCATGGGACTTCTATAATAGGAGAGACTTTCGGTGGGTACATAATGTATATAATATTAGGTACAGGCGACACAAATCTACGTAAAATCGCTAGTCTAAATCTGGGCACTGAACACTTTGTGAGAGGTATAGGGGACAGCCCACTAATTTCAGCTCCTATTGGAATATATGGAAAACATTAAAGAACTGAGCTGTCAACAATCACCTACTTGAGTGTTCAACTATTGTAAACACATATTGACAGGGTAGTCCAACTTCCAAATTGTCCATTTAGGCCAAAAATTTCACTTTTTGACCAGCGATACATATCACGGCAAATGCAAACACTGGCAGCATGACCTCTGACCCCCTTGAAAACCACCAAAAGACAAGAAGATGGGATTAGTTTTAGAACCTACCAAGCAGCCAGAACAACACTAACAGCCAGTTTTTTCAAGTTAATAGAAATAGAAATAACTCTCCAGCTGGAAAATGCCAGCATTTACCCACACATACCAAGAAAAAGGCTATTTTCAGTTGGTTTGGCTGCACTCAATCAAATGCGCCATTTGGTGGCCTTTGCCCTATAAGGGCAACCGAGACGGGGGGCGGTACCGACTTCCAACAAACTTTGAACCTTTGCTAACATGACATTACTCAGGTGTATCTTTTGTAGTGCGACCAATGCATTTGCTAGTTAGTTAGTAAGCTATCCTCTAGACTACCAAGTCACTTTTCAATTTTGTCTCTCATTCTGTCAGGATTAAGATGTGCACGGAGGTGACCCAGGATGACCTGCAGACAGTTCACCATGAGATGGGGCACATCGAGTACTTCTTACAGTATAAGGACCAACCTGTGGCGTTTCGGGAGGGCGCGAATCCTGGTACCTATCATTCTGTATCTGTATCTGTATAGCCGGCATAACCGCCTTTCAGTGTAACACACTAGCTTTGCAGGCACGCGGCGCGGCGGCAGCTGGCTACATTACACTGATCGACTTGTTACACCTAACCCTTGAACATCCACGATGGTCAAATTTGGGCCCAAATATTCCAACCTTTTCATCGAACAGAATCATGTTCGATATGACGTCATTCGAATCGAATCATGTTCGATATGACGTCAATCGAACCGAACGTTCGTTCGATCCGGGGTTACCCGCGGTCATGTACAGTAAACCCGCGGCTTCAAGCCCGTTTTTACACGGTACCGCCTAACAGTAAAAAAAATCACCTTTTCACAAATATAAACCAATTTCGGTACCGTATATCTATGCCCTATTTTATAGTGGATATGTAACATGTAACGAAGCTACTGCCGTTATCGTGTGTGACCTTGAAGATCGTAATTGTTGTTTACGGGGATATAAGTTACCCCCTGTACTTACTCACACGACCTGACATGCGTGCAAACATGGTATTTAAACCGCAAGAAAAACAAATTCAATTTACCTCAAAAACGTTTTAAATTGTAGGTAAGACAAAAATCTCGATCTGTGTCGGACGGATTTTTTAAAGATGGCGGCGTTCTGGAATTATCCGTCTTGAAAGTTGCAAAAGTGCATTTTTGGGCGAATTTTTCTATCTTACCTACACTTTAACTTTGAAATGAAGAAAACTGTCCGACTCAAATCTTAATTTTGTTATACTGTTCTCTAAAATGCAAAAAATATGGAATTTTCGGAGAGATTTGGAGTCGGTTTAAATCAGTTGTTTGGTTATTGACGTCGATTGTTCTAGAATAAGCATTCGACGCGTCGAGAGTGATTTCACGCACATTTAAGCATTGTAATAAAAACACCAACATTTGAGCTATATGCAGTGCGGATTTTATCACATTTGAACAAGAGAGTCCCCGTGAAACTGTTTATAACTGATGAAAATAATGTTTACCGTTGAGACTGGCTCCACGGAAGCCGCGCGTGGAACCCCGGTAACCTGATACACCTCCGTAGAATTGGAAACTTTACCCTAGAAATTGACCGCCGTGGCCATCGAAATATTGACGGGGTCAAAAATAAAGGGTCAACTCTATTCTCAATCTAGAAGGTTTTTTTAACGGTTTAAACAACGCAAAGTAATCAGAGTATTTTTTCATTGCCTAGAATGTATAGAAAATGAAGACGTCTTGAAGGAACTATGAAAGAAGCAGCATCTAAGACTGTCCCCCGTTTGTTGTGTCTCAGGTTGGGTTGTCACCGCCTGCAGGCAAACCGGGAGAGGCGAGGTCACTACCTGTTGGACCGGTCAGTAGGACGCTGTCACCTCACGCACGGTTCAAAAGAGACACGCTGCGCTTGGCAGAAGTACTGCAATTTATATTTAGGGACTTTGCCCAGCCCTAACATGTAATAATGCATAGCGTAGGTCTAGCAATAGTGGTTTACTTAAAACAAGACTGAAATATAATTTGTCAAAGTCTACAATTTCTTTGATTATGTCATACTCACATGA